TGCCAGACCTGCTGAGCTTTTCCAGCAACTTTGTTTTTGTATCTGCTGGAGCCTAGAATGTTTTTAGAGATGATGTATGATTCTGAAGGGTCTTGACAAGATGGGTGTGAAAGGAATTTGGGAAAGTCTTGAACTAGAGGTCACCACTTAACAATAAGTGATCATCCATTTGAGTGAGAGATCAAGGAGATTCCAGTTTATCACAAGATTTGGAACCCTCTTCCTTAAAAGGCAATGGAGGCAGACTACTTGAATATTTTAAAAGCAGAGGTAAGTAGATTCTTGATCAAAAAGTGGGTGAAAAGTTATTACAGATAGGTGGGAATATGGAATAATCAGGTTAGTCATGATCTTATTGAATGGTAAAGAATGCTCGAGGGGCCGAGTAGTCAGCTCCTGCATCTGGCGTCTGTTTGTAGGCAAGTGGGAAATATTCAATCACATCTCTGACTTGTGTCTTGTGGACAATGGTTGGACTGTGAGGAGTCAAGAGGTGGTTTTTTTTAATTCACTCACAGGACGTGGGCATCACTGGCTAGGCCAGCATTTTATGCCCATCCCTAACTGCCCAGAGTGCAGTTAAGAGTCAACCACATTTCTGTGGGTCAGGAGTCACATGTAGGCCATACCAGGTAAGGATTGCAGATTTCCTTCCCTAAAGGATATAAGTGAACAAGATGGGTTTTTCCTGACAATTCACAATGGTCTCATGGTCATCATTAGACTCTTAAATCCAATATTCATTGTTTCATTGAATTCAAATTAAACTGTCTGCCATGGTGGGATTCACACCTGAGTCCACAAGAACATTAGTTCAGTTTCTGGATTAATGTCACTAGGTCATCGCCTCGCCCTAATTTACTATGAATAACTTCTGACCTGCTGCTATAGCCGCAGCATTTACATGATTGTTCCAGTTAAGTTTTTAGTTAGAAGTAACTCGCAGGACATTGATGATGGGTAATTCAGACAAAATATCATTGACCATCAGGAGAGAGATGGTTAGTTTTGTTTTGCCGGAGATGGTCATTGCCCAGCAATTATGTGACATGAATATTGCTTGACATTTATGAGTCCAAGCCACGATATTGACCAGATCTTGCTGTACACTGGTGGTGGCTACTTCAGTATCTGAGGAGTCATGTATAGCACTGAACACTGTAATCATCAACAAACACCCCCATTTTTGACTTTATAAAGAAACAAAGGATTGAGGACGCAGTGAAGATGGTTGGGCCAAGTACACTACCTTGAACTCCTGGGAGTGATGTTCTAGAGCTCTGGTGATTGGCCATCAACAACCATGACCACTTTGTTTTGTTTTAGGTATGATCCCTGCCAGTAATCCATGATTCTGATTGGCTATTTGTTCCCTTTGCCACTGGGGCGAAATGGGCTGCACTGTGTACCATCTGCAAGATGCACTGCAGCATTTTGCTCAGATTTAAACAGAACCTTTGGAATCTAAAACCCGTACCATATAAACAAGCCAGGGTAGCATAGGAACATCACCATGTTAGAACTGCTTTCCATGCTTCATGCCACTCTGACTTGGAAACATATCACCATCCCCCCATTATCCTTTGGTTAAAATCATAGATCTCCTGATGTGAGAACACTGTGCAAATGTCTTCAACAGAAAGAATGAACTGAAACGCCAAATGCTTTGAAAATTCCAAACTCTGCTGAAGCAATGGCAACATGGATCCTGCTACATTTGTGATCACTGGGAGTGCAGGAATAGATGAAATCCCTGGATTTGCACACTCCAATGAGGATTTGTTGCTGAACGTTAGCTGATACTTTATTTGTTGCAATGATCAGTCTTTTCACTCTTCTAGTTTCTGATCAGAAATGTTGCCACTCATTAAAAATGCATTCTCTCTTTCATTACAGACGTGCTGGCACTCAGAACTTCACTCTGGAGCTATCCAATGCCTATCAATCTATCTGCCAGAGGATGGACCAATATAAGATATACAAAACAGCTGTGCTGGGAATTATAAGTAAGAGAGTTAAGCATGTTAAACCTTAGAAATTTGTTCCCTTTGTCACTGAGGCTATATGGGCTGCACTGTGTTCCATCTACACTACAGCATTTTGCTAAGACTTAAACAAAACCTTTGAAATCTAGAATCCCTACCATATAGACAGACCAGTGCAGCATGGAAACATTGCTATGTTAAAGTTACCTTCCATACTTACACCCCCTGACTTGGAAATGTATCACCATTGCTAAATTATTCCTTGGTTAAAATAATAGATCTCCCTACATGGCAACACTGTGCAAATATCTTCTACAGAAAGGGTGCTATCCTTCTAGAAGCTGGCTCACTGTCACCTTCAGAGGTACAATTATGGGTGGGTAGTAAGGCCTGGCTTTTCCTGTGACACTTGCATCCAGGTTCAAAAAATAAAAAAAAGTCCACTTTTAGAAACTATAAGGAAGATACATAAAATCTTTTTGGTGACTGAAAATATGCAGGAATCCTCAGGAAAAGTACAAAGAGATGAAACAGTGTGGAGCTGGAGGAACGCAGCAGGCCAGGCAGCATCAGAGGAGCAGGAAAGCTGACGTTTCGGGTTGGGACCCTTCTACAGAAATGGGGGAGGGGTAAGGGAGCTCTGAAATAAATAGAGAGGAGGGGTGGGGCTGGGGAAGGTCGGTGGGATGGTGAAAGGTGAAGGCAGGTAGGTGGGTGGAGCAGATAGTTGGGAGAGAAGATGGACAAGTCAAGGAGGCAGGGATGAGAGGGAAGGTTGACCATGGGATGAGGCCGGGGGTGGGGAGATTTTGAAGCTAGTAAAGTCCACATTGAGACCATTGGGTTGTAGGGTCCCAAGGCGGAATATGAGGTGCTGCTCCTCCAGTTTCCGGGTGGCGTTGTTGTGACACTGGAGCAGGCCCAGGATGGACACGTTGCCCAGGGAGTAGGAAGGGGAATTGAAGTGGTTCGCGACTGGAAGGTGTTGTCGTTTGTTGCAAACGGAGCGCAGGTGCTCTACAAAGCGGTCTCCGAGCCTCCGCTTGGTCTCCCCGATGTAGAGGAGGCCACATCGGGAGCAGCAGATGCAGTAAACCATATTAGCAGATGTGCAGGTGAACATTTGTCTGATGTGGAAGGTTTTTTTGGGTCCTTGGATGGAGGTGAGGGGTAGGTGTAGGGGCAGGTGTAGAACTTTCTGCAGTTGTAGGGAAAGGTGCCGAGTGTGGTGGGGCTGGTGGGGAGTGGGGAGTGTGGAGCGGACAAGGGAGTCACGGAGAGAGCGGTCCCTAGGTAGGCAGATAGGGGTGGGGAGGGAAATATATCCTTGGTTGTGGGGTCAGATTGCAGGTGGCGGAAGTGGTGGAGAATGATACGCTGAATCCAGAAGCTAGTGGGGTGATACGTGAGGAAAAGGGGAATTCTGTCTTTGTTTTGGTTGCGGGGAGGGGGTGTGAGTGCTAAGGTGTGGGAAATGCAAGAGATGTGGTTGAGAGCATTTTCGACCACTGGGGTGGAGGGCAGTTGCGGTCCTTGAAATACGAGGACATCTGGGATGTTCGGGAGTCTACACTACACCTCCTCTCACCCACCTTCCTGCAAGAATGCGATCCCCTACTCCCAATTCCTCCGCCTCTGCTGCATCTGCTCCCAAATGAGGCGTTCCACTCCCGACCATCGCAGATTGATCTTTACACTGGCTACCAGTGATTGATAACAAAGACCTTCTGCCTGCCAGTAACCATGCCATTAGTTCTCAGGTAGCTGAACAGCTTGCTGCTGTGAACAAGACAGAGAAAAACCATCCAATCTCCACCAGTCTAATAGCTGACTATGTTCACTGCAGGAAATAAGAACACACTTTAAGCTTGAAGAAAATCAGTTTATTTTGTAATCAGCAGTTTGATAAATCTGTCACTTTTAACTAATACACCATGAACCTTTTATAAGAGAGATCTAGTCACCCTGTAACTTGTATAAACTCCTGCAAGCAAGTGGAAGTATCTGGAAAGGAAACCTGAGAAGCAGCATTCTGATCAGCACAGGAATCATCTCAGCAAATCCTGTGAACATTGCACAATATTCCCAGTCTTTCCCTCAGCCCATGATACCCATGTACTTGTGTGTGTGTGTGTGTGTGTGTGTGTGTGTGGGTGGGTGTGTGTGGTTTCTAAGGAATTAGAGTCTTAGTTAGTAGTGCAACATTCCAACAGTTCACAGATAGTAAGAACTGCCGATGCTGGAGTCAGAGATAACACAGTGTGGAGCTGGAGGAACACAGCAGGCCAGGTAGCATCAGAGGAGCAGGGAAGTTGATGTTTCGTCAGAAAGAAGGGTCCTGACCCGAAACATCAACTTCCCTGCTCCTCTGATGCTGCCTGGCCTGCTGTGTTCTTCCAGCTCCACACTGTGTTATTCTGACAGTTTGTATTTGTTTGTGACTTCACTTCATCTGATGAAGGGGCAGTGCTCTGAAAGCTTGTGATTTCAAATAAGCCAGTTGGACTATAACATGGTGGCATGCAACTCCTGACCTTGTCCACCCCAATCCAACACCGGCACCTCCACATCATGGCTACCATTTAATGAGAAGATCGCTGATCTGATAATGCTCCACTCCACTTCGCTGCCTTTTCTGAATACCTCTTGATACCATTACTGATTAAAAATCTGTCTAAGCCTTGAATATACGTAACGACCCAGCCTCTATAGCCCTCTGTGGTAAAGAATTTCTACAGATTCACTATCCTCTGATAGAAGAAATTCCTTCTCACTGCATGCAATAATTGGGTTGGTCCAAATGTTAGAATTTTCGGGGAACCAGCAAAGTAGGGAAAGGGTAACCTGTGGATATATGAACATAAGAACAGAAAAACTAGGCACCAGAGTAGGCCATTCAGCCCTTGAAGTGGCACAATCGCTCAGTGGTTAGCTCTGCTGCCTCACAGCACCAGGGACCTGGGTTCAATTCCACCCTCGGGTGACTGTCTGTGTGGAGTTTGCACATTGTCCCCGTGTCTGTGTGGGCTTCCTCCAGGTGCTGTGGTTTCCTCCCACAGTCCAAAGATGTGCAGGCTAGGTGGATTGGCCATGCTAAATTGCCTGTAGTGTTCAGCGATGTGTAGATTAGGTGGGTTATAGGGGGATGGGTCTGGGTGGGATTCTCTGAGGGTCAGTGTGGACTTGTGGGGCTGAAGGGCCTGTTTCCACACTGTAGGGATTCTATGATGATGATGAGCCTTCGTAGCCATAGCTGATCTCATAATGGGCTCAAGTCTACTCTCCAGAACCATTAACGCTTTAAAAATATATCTGTCTCCTCATTTAAATTACTCAATGAACCAACACACACCACTCACTGGAGTACATGAATTCTACAGATTTACGACCCTTTGAGACAAATCATTTTTCCTCATAGAACATAGAACTGTACAACACAGTTCAGTCCCTTCGGCCCACGATGTTGTGCCGAACTTCTACCCTAAACCTAAGGCCTATCTAACCTCCACCCCTACCTTATACTATCATCCATATGCCTATCTAATAGCCGCTTAAATGCCCCTAATGAGGCCGACTCCACTACCCTCTCCGGCAATGCATTCCATGCCTCTATCTCTCATTCTAGATTTCCCCAAATGAGAAATCATCCTTTCTCTGCCTCCTTTGTCAATTCCCTTTAGCAACTTTTATACCTCAGTTAGATCTCTCAGTTGTCTAAACTACTAAAGACCTAAATAGCTCAATCTCACTTCAAAAGACAAACCACTTAGTCTGGAATCATTCTGGTGTACCTTCTCTGAACCAGCTCCAATGCAATTACATCCCTTCTCAAGTAAGGGAACTAAAATTGCTCACAGTATTTCAGATGTTTGATATGTTTGCCTTTATTGGTTAATGCATTGAGTACAGGAGTTGGGAGGTCATGTTGTGGCTGTACAGGACATTGGTTAGGCTACTTTTGGAATACTGCATGCAATTCTGGTCTCCTTCCAATAGGAAGAATGCTGTGAAAGTTGAAAGGGTTCAGAAAAGATTTACGAGGATGTTGCCAGGGTTGGAGGGTTTGAGCTACAGGGAGAGACTTAATAAGTTGGGGCTATTTCCCTGGTACATTGGAGGCTAACGGGTCACATTATAGAGGTTTATAAAATCAGGAGGGGTGTGGACAGGGTGAATAGCCAAGGTCTTTTCTCTGGGTGGGGGAGTCCAAAACTAGAGGGGATGGGTTTAAGCTGAGGTGGTAAAGATATAAAAGGGAGCTAAGGGGCAAGTTTTTCACGCAGAGGGTGGTGCGTGTGTGGAATGAGCTGCCAAAGGAGGTGGTGGAGGCTGGTACAATTACAACATTTAAGAGGCGTCTGGATGGTTTAGAGGGATATGGGGTAAATGCTGGCAAATGGGACTAGATTTATATCGGATATCTGGTAAGCATGGATAAGTTGGACCGAAGGGTCTGTTTCTGTGCTGTATGACTCTATGACTTTCTGTGATCTCATTAATGCCTTGTATAGTTGTAGGAACACTTCCCTACTTTTGTACTGTCTTCTTTTAGCAATAAATGCCTAAATTCAGTTTACCTTCCTTATTACCTGCTGTGCCTGCATACTAGGCATATGCAATTCATGCACAAGGACACGTAGATCCCTCTGCACCAAAGCATTCTGAAATTTCTCTCCAATTGGATGATAAGTTGCCTTTCTTCTCTTCTGACCAAAATAGATAACCTCTCACTTAAATGGTATCTGCCAAACTTTGGCTCTTTCACCCATGAATATCCATTTGTGAATTTCTTATTTCTTCATTACAACTTATATTCCAAACTATTTTGGTGTCATCTACAAGTTTTGCTGTAGTAACTTCTATCCCTGCATCCAAGACATCAATGTAAGTTGTGACACGTTAAATGATGTACTCGGATTTCCAAAACGCATTTGGTAAGAGGCCAAACAAAGATTACTACATTAGACAAGAACATATTAGCACGCGTAAAGGATCAGTTAGCTTCTAGTAAGTATTTTCAGGTTACTAAGACACAAGAGTGCCACAGAAATCAGGGCTTGGACTTCAGCTATTTACAATCAATATCAATGACATTGATGTAGGATAGATTATATGTGAATTTACCAACGACACCAAGATAGGTAAGAAATTAGACTGTCCTTCTGAGAGCCTATGTAGGGATAGAAGTAGGTTAAGTGAGTGGGCAAAAATTTGGTAGATGGAGTATAATGTGGGAAATTTTGAATTTGTCCGCTTTCACATGTAAAGTAGAAAAGTAAGGTTGTTGACTTGCTCGCCGAGCTGAATTGTTTTCATTCCGACAATTCATCACCATGCTAGGTAATGTTATCAATGGAGCCTCCAATGAAGCAGTGTTACCCTACTCTGGTTGGAATTAAACTGTTTGGTCTGTTATGGTGAGTACTATCATTTCCGGTTTTGATCTGTATGGGTTTGTATATGGGATCCAATCCTGTGTGTTTGTTGATTGCATTACGGGTGGAGAACCATGCCTCTAGGAATTCCCGTGTGTGTCTATGTTTGGCTTGGGCTACTATGGTTACCTTGTCCCAGTTAAATAAATGGCCTTCATTGTCTGAGTGTCCCAATATTAAGGAGAGTTCGTCGTGCAGTTTTGCTGCTAGTTGATGTTCATATATTCTGTTGGCTAGTTTCTTTCCTGTCTGTCCGATGTAATGTTTGTGGCAGTCGTTGCATAGTATTTTGTAAACCACGTTGGTTCTGCATGTTGTGGGAATGGAGTCTTTAATCCTTGTAAGTGTTTGTCGTAGAGCGGCTGTGGGCTTGTGGGCCCCATGATTCCTAGTGGTCTTAGGAGTCTTGTTGTCAGTTCTGATATGTTCTTGATGTAGAGTAGTGCAGCCAATGTGTTAGAGTGTACTGTGTCCTCCTGTTGTCTGTTTAGTAGGCATCTGTGGATGAAGTTGCGGGGATATCTGTTTATAGTGAGGATTTTATATAGATGCTCTTCCTTTTTCCTGCATAGTTCCGTGGTGTTGCAGAGTGTTGTGGCCCATTTAAATAGTGTCCTAATGCAGCTTTGGTTGTGGGTGTTGGGGTGGTTGCTGTGGAAGTTAAGGATTTGATCAGTAAGCATTGCTTTTCTGTATACTGAGGTTTGGAACTCCCCATTGGTCATACACTCAACTTTAACATTCAGAAACGGAAGTTGAATGTTGTTTTCCTCTTCCTTTGTGAGTTTAATCCCTGCAAATATGCTGTTGATGAGGTGGTGGGTGTCTTCTAATTTGTTGTGTTTAATAATGACAAATGTGTCGTCTCTGTACCAGATCCACAGTTTAGGTTGAATGCGGGGGAGGTTGGTGTGTTCTCGTCTTTGCATGACTGCTTCTGCAATGAGACCTGAGATGGGTGACCCCATTGGGTGTACAGTTGATCTGTTTGTATACTCGACCATTAAAGACGAAGCGTGTGGTGAGGCAGAGGTCTAGTAGTTTCAGTATGTTGTCATTAGATGATTGAACTGCTGGTCTGCGTTGCTGCTTCCTCTGGTAATGTGGCCACTGTTTCTTTGGCTAGTGAGATGTTGATTGATGTGAATAAAGCTGTGATGTCAAAAGATACCATGATCTCGTCGTCGCTGATTTTTATGTTCTTGAGGGTATCGAGGAAATCTTGGGTTGAGTGAATGGGATGGGGTGATCTGTCTCTTGGTGTTTCAATCTCTGTTGTAGGTCCTTAGTCAGTTTGTGTGAAGGTGTGCCTGGTAGGGAAACAGTGGGTCTGAGAGGGATGTCTGGTTTATGTACTTTAGACAGTCTATAGAAGTTGGGGGTGTTTGTGCCTTCTAGTTTCATTCTTATGAAGTCTGTTTTGGTTATCTGCCCTGCATTCATTAGCCGCTTTAGTGTCTGGGTGATCCTGTTACATTGCTGCGGTGTTGGGTCTATTGCCACCTGTTGGTAAGTGGTTGTATCTGCAAGTAATGCCTGTGCTTTTTTTAACGTAGTCTGGTTTGTTCATAATAACAGTCATGCGTCCTTTGTCTGCTGGGAGGATTAAAATGTTCTTGTCTGCCTTGAGTTTATCTAGTGCTTTTCTCTCTGATGTGCTCAGGGTGTCCCATTTGTTCCTTCTGTGTAGTGTGGGGATTATAATTTGTCGGATGGCTTGTGTTTCGTCCATGAGTCTGTTGTCTTTTAATGTAGTTTCCAGGGCAGCCGTGAAGTCTGAGATAACAAGGTGTAGAGCTGGATGAACACAGCAGGCCAAGCAGCATCAGAGGAGCAGGAAAGCTGACGTTTCGGGCCTAGATCCTCCTTCAGATCCTTCGGTTCTGAATGTTCTGAGGTAGGGTCACCGGACCCGAAACGTTAACTCTGTTTTCTCCTCCACAGATGCTGCCAGACCTGCTGAGCTTTTCCAGCAACTTTGTTTTTGTTCCTGATTTACAGCATCTGCAGTTCTTTTGGTTTTTATTAATCATTGCTCGTAGCATTCTCCGTTCGTTCTGTTCGGCTATTTTATAGCCTGTGGGTTGTTGAGTGGAGGTTTGTATTTCACGCTGCAGGGCGGTACCTGGTTCCTGAGGCTTTCATGGAGAAAGTGGAGTTGTTCGCAGGTAGAGCTCAGTTGTTTGGCGAAGTTTTCCCATTGCCGTGCAATTTTTAGCGTGTTTACACCCGTAGGTGTTCAAAGTTTTGGCAAAGATCTGTAGCTCGGGTTGTGGGTGAGGTTGTTGACTTGCTTGCCGAGTAGAAAAGTAGTCTACTGTTGAAATAGAGAGAGAGAGAGAGACTGCAGAACTTGATGATGCAGACAATGGGGTTGACTCTAACGTGGCCTCTGGGCAATTAGGGATTAGCACTAAATGCTGGCCTAGCCAGTGATGCCCTCATCCCGTGAATGAAAAAAAGAATCTGTGTTTCCTGGTACATGAATCATAAAAAGTTAGTTTGAAGGTGCAGCCAGTGATTTGGGAGGCAAGTGAGGGCATTCAGAAGGCATTTACGTAATGTAAGAGTAGGAAAATTGTACTGCAGCTGTATTAAGGTTAGTTGCATCAGCAGTTTAGAGAGACTATATCTAAAGTATACAATTTTGGTCTCCTTATTTGGATAGAATTGTGTTGCACATAGTTCGGAGGGGATTCGCTCAACTTATTCTAGTGATGAAAGTCAATATCTCATGAGGAAAGGAGTGCTGACCATTTTCTGTCTGGATTTTTCAGACAGTAGTTGGGCAGACCTTTTTTCTTTCATTTGTTCATGGAATATGAGGATTGCTGGAAAGGCCAGCATTTATTGCCAATCCTTAATTTTCTCTGAGAAAGGGAGGCCATGGCATTGATCGCAGCACAATAATCCACAAATGCTGGTATTATTGTCCTCGACTCATTGATTCAGATCCCATCATGGCAGATGGTGGAATATGAATTCCATAGAAGTGTGGAATTAAAACCTAATGAACCATTGCCGGAGGGAGGAGGGTAACTTCTTCAAGGTAGGCATCCAGTTGTAAAACCCATCTGGCTCACTAACGTCCATTAAGGAAGCAAATTGCTGTCCTTGTCTGGCTTACGTATGACTCCGACCCACAGCAGGTCTAGCAAGTCATTTTGTTGCATCAACCAATCAAAAGAATAAATAGGATAAAAACCAGATGGACCACCTGGCATCAATCTAGGGACCAGAAACAATGACGGCAAACACGGTCCTGTCAACCCTGCAAAGTCATCCTTCCTAACATTGGGAGCTCGTGCACAAGTTGCAAAAACTGCCTCACAGTCAGACAAGCAATAGCCTGACATAATCATACTCATGGAATCATATTTACAGACAAGGCCTTAGGCAACACCAACACTGTCCCTGCATAGACCCAGCAGAGATGGTGGCACAGTAGGATCCAGTTAGAAGAATGTTGTCCTCAACATTGACTCTAGACCCCATAAAGCTTCTTGTCATCAGGATAAATGTGGGTAAGGAAACATCCCGCTGATTACCACAAAATTTCCTCCCTTAACTGCTGAAGCAGTGCTCTTCCATATTGAGCAACGCATCTCAGCCTGTTGCAGTGGTCCCCAGCATAGGGAGGGAGATAAAAGAGGTGGGGGAGTGGCATTGTTAATCAGGGGATAGTATCACAGCTGCAGAAAGGGAGGTCGTGGAGGAGGGTTTCTCCACTGAGTCAGTATAGGTGGAAGTCAGAAACAGGAAAGAAGCAGTCACTTTATTGGGAGTTTTCGATAGATCCCCAATAGCAACAGAGACACTGAGGAACAGATTGAGAGACAGATTTTGGAAAGGTGCAGAAGCAATAGGGTTGTTATCATGGGTGACTTCTACTTCCCTAGTATCGACAGGAACCTCCTAAGTGCAAATAGTTTGGATGGAGCAGATTTTGTCAGATGTGTCCAGGAAGGATTTCTGACTCAATATGTAGATAGGCCAACTAGAGGGGAGGCCATATTGGATTTGGTTCTTGGCAATGAACCAGGCCAGATGCCAGATCTCTCGGTGGGAGAGCATTTGTTAGAAGTCACATGACACCAGGTTATAGTCAACCGGTTTATTAGAAATCACAAGCTTTCCGAGCCCTGCTCCTTCGTCAGGTGAAGTCACCTCACCTGATGAAGGAGCAGCGCTCTGAAAGCTTGTAATTTCAAATAAACCGGTTGACTATAACCTGGTGTCATGTGACTTCTAACTTTGTCCATCCCAGTCCAACACCAGCACCGCCACATCATGGCCATCATTGACTGTGCCTTCAAGTGCCTGTACCATAAGCACTGGAACTCCACTCCCAAACATCTGCATCTTTACTTCTTTCTCATCCCTTTATGATACTTTTAAAAGTTTTCTCAAACTTTCGTCCTATGTCAGCTGCGTTGGCATAAAGGTTTGGTCCTTGGGACATTTCATAGCATTAAAACTGCAAGAGAAAATGCAAATTGCTGTGTTGTTATTATTCAGCTGATTTAAAATTAATCAAACTTGCGGTCAGGGTTTTAATAGATTCGGGTCATTCACTTGGAAGCTGGAAATATATTTTTCCTTGTTAAGTATGTTCCATTAACAACTTAATTCTGTTTTGAATTTTCTTTTTTCTGGTTCATTTCTAGATGGCTAAGCATAGAACCAAACCTCAAGCTGCAGAAAAGTCACCTAGAGGATGCCACAAGGTTCTGTTTGTCAAGCATCAAGCACAACTACTTTTAAGATGAATATTATTTTCTTTACTGGGAAGGATATGCTGTCTGATTTACTTCTTTTGCCATTTATCATTAATTATTTTAAAAGAAAGGTTTGATAGAATCATTATCCCATTGCCTTTCAAAGTTCACAAGTCGATTCTCTATGTATACATTATTTTAAGATCGGAATAGAGATTTCTGACTAAACTCTCTATATGCTGCATTACCAGATGCCAGCCATTTTCTGGATCTTTTGGAAGAAGCAATCACATATCTACTTGTCTTTGCAGCTGAACATAGGAAAATATCTGAATATAAATTCAAGACTATTTTGCTAATCGCTTCCTTCTGGAATGCTGACTTTCTATTGTAGCTTCCTCCTGTTTCTTAAACTTAGGATTATTTCTTAAATTAATCCTGTTTCCTGGTCTCACCTAGCATTTGATCACTGTGAGGATTGAAAACCTCCATAAAAACCAAAAGAACTGCGGATGCTGTAAATCAGGAACGAAAACAAAGTTGCTGGAAGAGCTCAGCAGGTCTGGCGGCATCTGTGGAGGAGAAAACAGAGTTAACATAAAACCTCCATGGTATCCGTCTTACTTTTGGCTTTGGAAACCTCGAACTGATATCCTGTCTGCTGCTGTAGTATATCTTCTCTATCCTATCTCAAGTGTCTTGTGCACCATAATAAGATGGTCCAAAGACATCCATCTTTTGTTAAAGATGTTGGGCTTCTGGAGTAATTCCTCAAAGTTCAACATTCTAATACTGATATCAACCTTGTTGGTCTCCACTGAGTTCTGTCTAATCTCTGGTTTCACCTGCTATAATTACTCAATAGGACTTGCAGGTTACTTAACAGCATCCCGACGACTCTAAGACAGACCCTGCTTTTTATTCTATTTAGCCCAGCCTTACGAATGTGATGAGTGATGAATCAAGCAATTCCCCAACTCTTTTTTTTTGGCAGGTTTATCCCACTCTATTCTGTATCAGTCATTCCCATTTAATAGTAATAGGTTTCCTGGTGAGTTGATTGAAGTAGATCACACATCCATGTTTTTATAACAAGTTACCCATGAAACTTAAATTTTGTTTTAAATTGGGACTAACACTTCAGGGATCAAAGCCTCAATCATGGCCTAGTCTCCAGGTTGAGCTCTAAGTTAACACAAGTATGTTCACAGAGATCAGAAGAATTCCCAACATTACCTTAATCTTACAGAGGCTTCTCAGTGTTGATGGCCTCGACAGAGTGCGCACAGATCCTTTGTTTATAGGCCACCCTCAAATCCTCAGATAAACTTGGGCCATGGTCAATATTTCAGTTCAACACCATCACTCAAGGTAAATACATAAAGTGTATCCTTCCTTCTCCATTTTCCAGCGTGTGAGATGGATGAGCAGCACTGCCACTAGTTTCAAGTTTCTTTTGCTTGAATATATTTGTTTTTTTTGGTTTCATATTCTCAAATAAATCAAGCTGACAATTTTCATGGTGAATATTCTGTCTGCAACAAATAAGGTAATTGAAGGATGATATGGGATATAACATAGGTTTGATGATTGTATTGGGGTAACAAATATCCAAATGTATTGATTTGATAGAAATTGCATAAGTGTTTGAGTTTCTGCAACAGAAGACCATGTCTGTATTTGAAATAAAGCTTGAAAAAGGCATGTTGAAAGATGTGTGAAAAGTTCAAAGTTTATGTATGTAAAAAGATAAAGTCATCACAGTCTTATCAACCATAGGGTTGCCCTCTCAATAGAGAAAGATGGCTGGTGGTGTTTTAACCTGAGGCAAGGGGAGAGTCCTTCATGATAAACCTCAGCGAGTGCAGGTATAGAACCCATGCTGTTAGGTATTACTTTGCATTACAAACCAGCCATTCAGCCAACTGAGCTAACCAACTCTACTGACTGTGTGGCAACACTGAAATCAAATGCAAGTGCATCATATTTGTCTTTGAGTGTCCTTTAGCTCCACGCTTAACAGCCTGCTACGTTCACTGATCAGTGGTGATTGTCTTTGTTGACTCAACTGATCTGCATCTCATTTAGTCCCTTAACGCTACAACCTGCAAACCCCGGTTGAAAATAAAATCAAAATTAAGTACGTTTCGTCATGTATATGTGCTTACCTTTTTTGTTACCTTATTACAATCAAAGAGAAGGATGAGGGATAAGGAACAGGGCAGCTAATCAAGAAGGATACAGAATGGAATTGACTAACTCTATTTGCAAATGCAAACTCATCCGAAACTCTGAATCCCTAATTCTAAATTACATCTGGTCCAATTCACTTTGTACTTACTTATCTATTTGGCACAAGATTTAGAAATGCCTCTACTTTAAAAATCTCATTGTTTAAGATCCCTCATAACCTCACCCTTCATTATTTCTGTAACTCACTTGAGCCTACAAAACCTTCATAGTCTCTATGTCCTCCCAGTTCTGGCCTGTTCTGTATTTATGTTTTTAAAGACTTTCCTATTGCCAGAAATTGACATTCCGTTAGCTGCCTTGACTCTAAACAATGGAAATTTCCTGCTTGAAATTCCTTATCTCTGTCACAAGATCCTAGCAGGACTGCCCTGATAGACTCAACCAGGCTGTTCAGGTATGTATTAGTGGAGCGGTTGGAGATTCCTGCAGCTAAATTGTGCAATTAGAAGAGATTTTTCCTGCAAATTTCCTTTTTCCCATCAGTGGAGCAGTCCTGTACTGTATCTCCATCGCAACAGATGGTGCAGAGTTGGAGTGACTTCCTCAGAGAACCTGGGAATTTGATCAGTTGCACTGAAGAGGTTTAGATGTGGTCAGACTGAGAGGTTGCTTCAAAAAGCAATCCTTGCATCACAGAAGGTGCTGTCAATGTGTGACGAATGAGTGACAGCTACAAGGACAGTGCTTCATCTGAACCTGCACCTCATAGGGTCTTAGAGGTCTACCCAAAAAAGAAAACAAGGCCCATTGAGTCTTGGCCTGTCATCTTTGGCTGCCCTTCTTGGAGATAGCCTTCAGTGTGGCTAAGAGGCATTTTATGAAGCTCCACTGATTCCCTTTACTAATGTTGAAACTACGCCAACAACAGCACAAACTCTATGGGGGTAGAGAAGGTGGCCATTGAAATGCAGCTATAGGGAGAAGAGAACGTCCATAGATGTCTGACAGTTAGTGGACTGTCATTCCCCAAGTGTGGGCAACTTTCAATGTAACTTGAAAACAATACGAACATGCAGCCAAAGCTGAGTAACACTTCTGGTGGGCAAACCTGAGGGAATCATAGAACTCATTCATTCATAGAATCCCTATAGTGCAGGAAAAGGCCATTCGGTCCATGGAATCTATACCAATCTTCCAAAGGGCTTCCAAAGATCCACCCTATCCCCATAATCCTGCATGGAGTTTTTACCATGGCTGAATCACCTAACCTGGACACTGTGGGGAAATTTAGCATGGCCAATCCAACTAACCTGCACATCTTTGGACTGTAGGAGGAAATCGGAGCACTCAGGTGAAACCCATGTAAATATGTGGAGAACATGCAAACTCCGTACAGTCACCAAGGCTGTAATTGGACCCAGGTCCCTGAGCAATAACCACTGATTTAAGACTGAATTTATTCATGTAAACTGTAAACTTTCACTACTCAAGATGAGTATACTTAAAAACATTTTGAGTAGGTTGGTGCTGAAATGACTGCAATGATCCCAGCCGAACTTACCACTAAAGAAGTCAGATCCCAGAATGAAATTTGGCTTGATAAATCTCTTTTTGAATATAAAATGGTGGACTTTCACTGAAGCATAAACACATCAAGGCTACAGATTTATTTTTTTTTTAACAATACAACAGAACCTTTTTACACAAAAGAATAAAAAGAAAACAAACCAAGTTATTCAAACATAACCTAGCTGGAAATGTTTCGAAAGACAATGCAAAATAAATTCCCATCTACTGTCCTACATCATCACTTCACAGTTACTTATAGAAAGAGAAATTTTCCTTCCCTGCCCAATCTGTGGGTTTGCCTTAACTCTTTATGACTCTACAAGTGATGGAGGCTGGTCTAATTACAGCATTTAAAAGACATCTGGATGGGTGTATGAATAGGAAGGGTTTAGAGGGATATGAGCCAAATGGGACTAGATTAATTTAGGATATCTGGTTGGTATGGACAGGTTGGATTAAAGGGTCTGTTTCTGTGCTGCCCATCTCTATGACTCTGCTTTTATCCCCCTCAGATCCTGTTCTGTGAGCTGCGAAGTCTATTCTTTGAAGCCTCACATTACTGAGACCTTAGAATTTCCCAGCTTTGAATAATCAATGCAGATCTCTAACAAAACTCTCTTGGCCTGGAACTTTTCAAAAACTGAAACCCTTGCACTCAGATAGCTTATTCCCTTAACTGTGCTGAACAAACTCTTTTTTCTAGAAGAAAGTACTCTGAAATCTTTCTCCATTGAACTTAATTCAGAAGTTTTTAACTACATTTAAAATAGACTTGGTTGTGCTTGCTTCTGCTCAGCTAATAGCTTTCCTTTTTAGATAACAAGGTGTAGAGCTGGATAAACACAGCAGGCCAAGCAGCATCAGAGGAGCAGGAAAGCTGACGTTTCGGGCCGAGACCCTTCTTCAGAAATGGGGGAGGGGTAGGGGATTCTGAAATAAATAGGAAGAGAGGGGGAGGCAGATGGAAGATGGATAAAGGAGAAGATAGGTGGAGAGGAGACAGACAGGTCAAAGAGGCGGGGGGTGGAGCCAGTAAAGGTGAGTGTAGGTGGGGAGTTAAGGAGGGGATAGGTCAGTCCAAGGAGGATGGACAGGTCAAGGGGGCGGGATGAGGCTGGTAGGTAGGAGATGGGGGTGGGGCTTGAGGTGGGAGGAGGGGATAGGTGGGAGGAAGGACAGGTTAGAGAGGCGGGGACGAGCTGGGCTGGTTTTGGGATGCAGCAGGGAGAGGGGAGATTTTGAAGCTTGGGAAGTCCACATTGATACCATTGGGCTGCAGGGATATGAGTTGCTGTTCCTGCAACCTTTGGGTGGCATCGTTGTGGCACTGCAGGAGGCCCAGGATGGACATGTCGTCTAAGGAATGGGAGGAGCAGTTGAAATGGTTCGCGACTGGGAGGGCAGTTGTTTGTTGCGAACCGAGCGTAGGTGTTCCGCAAAGCGGTGTCCAAGCCTCCTCTTGGTCTCCCTGATGTAGAGGAGTCCACATCTGGTACAGCGAATACAGTATACCACATTAGCAGATTGCAGGTGAACATCTGCTTGATGGGGCCTGGGATGGGAGGTGTAGGGGCAGGTGCAGCACTTCCTGCGGTTGCAGGGAAAAGTGCCGGGTGTGGTGGAGCTGGGGGGGAGTGTGGAGCGGACAAGGGAGTCACGGAGAGAGTGGTCCCTCCCGAAAGCAGATAAGGGTGGGGAGGGAAAAATGTCTTTGGTGGTGGAGTCGGATTGCAGATGGCAGACGTGTCGGAGGATGATGCATTGGATCCAGAGGTTGGTGGGGTGGTACGTGAGGACGAGGGCGATTCTGTTTTGGTTGTTATTACAGGGAGGGGGTGTGAGGGATGAGTTGCGGAAAATGCAGGAGACACAGTCGAAGGCATTCTTGACCACTGAGGGGGGAATTTGCGGTCCTTGAAAAATGAGGACATCTGAGATGTTCGCGAGTGGAATGCCTCATCCTGGGAGCAGATGTGGCGGAGGTGAAGGAATTGGGAATAGGGGATGGCATTTTTGCAGGAAGGTGGGTGAGAGGAGGTGTATTCTAGGTAGCTGTGGGAGTCGGTAGGCTTGAAATGGATATCGGTTTCCAGGTGGTTGCCAGAGATGGAAACAGAGAGGTCCAGGAAGGAGAGAGAGGTATCAGAGATGGTCCAGGTGAACTTAAGGTTGGGGTGGAAGGTGTTGGTGAAGTGGATGAACTGCTCGAGCTCCTCGTGGGAGCACAAGGCAGCGCCGATACAGTCATCGATGTAACGGAGGAAGAGGTGGGGTTTAGGGCCGGTGTAGGTACGGAAGAGGGATTGTTCCACGTAACCTACAAAGAAGCAGGCATAGCTTTGGCCCATGCGAGTACCCTTGGTCACCCCCTTTGTCTGTAGGAAGTGGGAGGAATTGAAAGAGAAGTTGTTAAGGGTGAGGACGAGTTCAGCTAAGCAAATGAGGGTGTCAGTGGAGGGGGACTGGTCAGGCCTGCGGGACAGGAAGAAGCGGAGGGCCTTTAGGCCTTCTGCATGGGGAATGCAAGTGTATAGGGACTGGACGTTCATGGTAAAAATGAGGTGTTGGGGATCGGGGAATCAGAGGCTTTGGAGGAGGTGGAGGGCGTGGGTCGTGTCATGGACGTAGGTGGGGAGTTGCTGGACCAAGGGGGAGAAAATGGAGTCGAGATAGGGGGAGATAAGTTCGGTGGGGCAGGAGCAGGCGGAGACAATGGATCGACCAGGGCAGTCAGGTTTGTGGATTTTGGGAAGGAGATAGAAGCGGGCAGTGTGAGGTTGGGGAATGATGAGGTTGGAGGCTGTGGGTGGGAGGTCACCTGAAGGGATGAGTTTGTGGATGGTTTGGGAGATGATGTTTTGGTGGTTGGGGGTGGGGTCATGATCAAGAGGGCGATAGGAGGAGGTGTTGGAGAGTTGGCGCCTGACCTCGGCGATGTAGAGGTCAGTGCGCCATACTACAGCTGCGCCTCCCTTGTCCACGGGTTTTATGGTGAGGTTGGGATTGGAGCGGAGGGAGCGGAGGGCTGCATGTTCTGTGGGGGAGAGGTTGGAGTGGGTGAGAGGGGTGGAGAGATTGAGGTGATTGATGTTTCTACGGCAGTTGGAGATGAAGAGGTCGAGGGAGGGTAGGAGGGTAGGGGTGTGGTGTCCAGGAGGAGGGGGTGTGTGGGAGGTGGGAGAAGGGGTCAGTAGAGGGAGGGTTAGGCTCATGATTGAAGAAGTAAGTGTGGAGGTGGAGGAAGCAAAAAAACTGTTGGACGTCCAAACGTGAGCGGTATTCATTGATGTGTGGGTGGAGGGGGACAAAGGTGAGCCCCTTACTGAGGACTGACCATTCGCCCTCAGTGAGGGGGAGGTCTGGGGTGATGGTGAAGACCCGGCAGGGCTGGGTGCTATTGTCTCCTCTGGAGCTGCTGGCTTTGGAGGTGTAGGGCAGAGCGATGTCGGCGGTGGGCAGAACGACGTCAGCGTCGTTGGTGGGCAGAGCAACGTCAGCGGTGGGCCGTGCGGCATTGGCGGTGGGTGGAACGGAGTCAACCTCACAAGATAAACAAACTTCCATTAACCCTCATGGAAGCCATCAGTCATTTGTTCTTTGACATGAGGACTGCTTTGCAGAACACCTACGCTTGGTTCGCACTAAACAACTGCACCTCCCAGTCGCAAACCATTTCAACTCCCCCTCCCATTCCTCAGAGACATGTCCATCCTGGGCCTCCTGCAGTGCCACAACGATGCCACCCGAAGGTTGCAGGAAGAGCAACTCATATTCCGCTTGGGAACCCTGCAGCCCAATGGTATCAATGTGGATTTCACAAGCTTCAAAATCTCCCCTCCCCCTACAGCATTCCAAAACCAGCCCAGCTCGTCCCACCTCAAGCTGCACCCCCATTTCCTACCTACTAACCTCATCCCGCCCCCTTGACCTGTCCGTCCTCCCTGGACTGACCTATCTCCTCCCTACCTCCCTACCTACATTCACTTTTACTGGCTCCAAGCCGCCTCTTTGACCTGTCTGTTTCCTCTCCCTATTTATTTCAGATCCCCCTTCCCCTCCCCCATTTCTGATGAAGGGTCTAGGCCCGAAACGTCAGCCTTCCTGCTCCTCTGATGCTGCTTGGCCTGCTGTGTTCATCCAGCTCTACACCTTTTTATCTCTGTTCTTTGACATGTACTGGCTTAAGATCATGGTTCTGAAAGGAGTGACCAAGTTACTTATTAAACTCCGTCACAGCAACATAGACCTACACCCACACACATGTAGACCAACACTGATTTGAATTACAATTCCAAAAAATATATGGATATAATCGTGCAGTTTCCTTAACAAAATGTTACTTGACCCACATTTGAGCTAGTTTTGTAAAGTTGAGTGAATAGAGATGCTCAAAATCTTATAGTCCCTACAGCCCTCACTAATCCTCTGAAAAGTATTCCACCCCATCCCTCTAATTCCCATGGCTAACCCACCTAGCCTGCACACTCTTGCCAATTTAGCATGACCAATCTACCTAACATACACACATTTGGACTGGGAAAGGAAACCCAGGTAGTCATCCAAGGCTGGAATTGAACCTGGGTCCATAGTAGTGTGAGGTAAGAGGGCTAACTACTGAGCAACCACGCTGCCTTGTAAATTGTAAGGAGCCTGGACAGAATACATAGAAAGAAATTATTTCCATTGTCAAACAAGTTGAGAATGAGGATATTGGCAAAGACACCAGCAGCAAATGAGGAAATAATTGCAGTTACTGAGTGGGTGGGGTCTGGAATGTACTGCATGAGTTTTTTTTAAACTGCATTTTAGCTTTCGAAAGGGAATTGAAGAATCAGTTGTAGTGAGAAATACTTGCAGTGTCATGGGAATAGGTTTGTAGAATGGGACATGCTGGGTTAATCTGTGTTATGATCCCATATTGGAACAGTCCCAGGGTGAAACCTGGCTTTGTAGATCGTAAATTTAATTTTTACAGTTAGTTATTCTGTTGGTCTGTCAGTGAACATATACACACAAGGCTGCAAATTTTCTTTAATAAAGGAATGCATATTTATTACACAAAAAAAGAATCTATATATAAGCCTATCTAGCTTCTCTTCTTTCTTGGCTTACTGTCAACAATTCCTTCATCTGTCTACCCTTTTATCTCTCTCCCTCTTTCTCTCTCTCTCTGGGCTCCATGTCCATATATCTGCTCATCCCTTCTCCTCACCAATTGCCCCATTCCATGATCAGTACAAATATAATCTTTTCCTAGCTGCTTATAGTTCTGAAGAAAGGTCACTGGACTCAAAACTTTAACTCTGTTTCTCTCTCCACAGATGCTGCCAGACCTGCTGAATATTTCCAGCATTCTCAGTTTTTATTTGGTTCAAATAGTGATGCAAAGTGTGTGATTTATAACTATTCATATCATTTAATTTAGGGTGTGAAATTTGAGCTAGTGGCATATATGCTTTGATCTTGTGCAAGAGGGGGTTTAATAATTAACTTGCCAGTCTCTCTGAGGTAACAAGATGTAGAGCTGGATGAACACAGCAGGCCAAGCAGCATCAGGGGAGCAGGAAGGCTGACATTTCGTGCCTAGACCCTTCTTCAGAAAAAGGGTCTTCTAAAGAAGGGTCTAGGCCC